CACACACTCCCCGAAGGACACCCGCACTCACGCCGTACTCCAAAGGATACCCGCCTATCCGTTCAAACACCCTGGATCTACGGGCTGGGCGGCAAAGGCACGTCTCGGGGGAGGGACCAGAAGTTAAGGAGAGGGTGCGGGATGTCCTGTGATTAGGGGGAGGGGGGTGGGAGAGGAGGATAGGAATAAGGAGAAGGAGAAGCCGAGGATGAGGAAGGATGGTGAGAGGATAGGAGTGGAGAAGAAGGAGACGAGGATGAGGAGGAGGATAGGGATAAGGAGAAGGAGACGAGGATGAGGAAGGATGGGGAGGGAGAGGAGGAGAGGAATAAGGAGGAGAAGACGAGGATGAGGAAGGATGGTGAGGAGGATAGGAGTAGGGAGAAGAAGGAGACGAGAATGAGGAGGATGGGGAGGAGGATAGGAGTGGAGAGAAGACGAGGATAGGAAGGGAGGGAGGATGAGAAGGAGGAGGATAGGAGTAGGGAGAGAAGACGAGGATGAGGAAGAGGGAAGGGAGGGAGGATAGGAATAAGGAGAAGAAGGAAACGAGGATGAGGAAGGATGGGGAGGAGGATAAGAGTAAAGAGAAGAAGACGAGGATGAGAAAGAGGGAAGGGAGTGGAGGATAGGAATAAGGAGAAAAGAGAGACGAGGATGAGGAAGGATGGGGAGGAGGATAGGAGTAGGGAGAAGAAGGAGACGAGGATGAGGAAGGATGAGGAGGAGGATAGGAATAAAGAGAAGGAGAAGACGAGGATGAGGAAGGATGGGGAGGAGGATAGGAGTAGGGAGAAGAAGGCGAGGATGAGGAAGAGGGGAGGGAGAGGAGGATAGGAATAAGGAGAAGGAGAAGCCGAGGATGAGGAAGGGTGGGGAGGAGGATAGGAGTAGGGAGAAGAAGACGAGGATGAGGAAGAGGGGAAGGGAAGGAGGATAGGAATAAGGAGAAGAAGGAAACGAGGATGAGGAAGGATGGGGAGGAGGATAAGAGTAAAGAGAAGAAGACGAGGATGAGAAAGAGGGAAGGGAGAGGAGGATAGGAATAAGGAGAAAGAGAAGACGAGGATGAGGAAGGATGGGGAGGAGGATAGGAGTAGGGAGAAGAAGGAGACGAGGATGAGGAGGAGGATAGGAATAAGGAGAAGGAGAAGACGAGGATGAGGAAGGATGGGGAGGAGGATAGGAGTAGGGAGAAGAAGGCGAGGATGAGGAAGAGGGGAGGGAGAGGAGGATAGGAATAAGGAGAAGAAGGAGACGAGGATTAGGAAGGATGGGGAGGAGGATAGGAGTAGGGAGAAGAAAGCGAGGATGAGGAAGAGGGGAGGGGGAGGAGGATAGGAGTAGAGAGAAGAAGACGAGGATGAGAAAGAGGGGAGGGAGAGGAGAATAGGAATTAGGAGAAGAGATAGGAGTAGGGAGAAGAAGGCGAGGATGAGGAAGAGGGGAGGGAGAGGAGGATAGGAATAAGGAGAAGAAGGAGACGAGGATAAGGAAGGATGGGGAGAAGGATAAGAGCAAAGAGAAGATGACGAAGATGAGGAAGAGGGGAGGGGGAGGAGGATAGGAATAAGGAGAAGAAGAAGACGTGGATGAGGAAGGATGAGGAGGAGGATAGGAGTAGGGAGGAGATGACAAGGATGAGGAAGGATGGGGAGGAGGATAAGATTAAAGAGAAGAAGGCGAGGATGAGGAAGAGGAGAGGGGAAGGAGGATAGGAATAAGGAGAAGAAGAAGACGAGGACGAGGAGGAGGGAGGAGATGACGAGGAAGAGGAAGGAGGGGGGAGGAGGATAGGAGAATAAGAAGGAGGGGGGGGGAGGATAGGAGAATAAAGAGGAATGATGAGGAGGATAGGAATAAGAAGACGAGGATGCAGAAGGGGGGGTCGAGTGACGTGTATATTTATAGGATCATAATGATGGGATTGAAATATGACAATTCATTCACGAATGACGAACAAAAGAGGTAATTATAATCATTAATGGAGATAATGACAATGATAATTATCGACAGCATTATCTTTAGAATAATAGTGATGATATTGATGTTAATAATGGTGGTACCTACTACTACTACTACTACTACTACTACTACTACTACTATTGCTACTATTGATAATAATAATCATAACTATTATTATTACTAAGACAATTATAGTAATAATAATGATATTGATAATAACAATGGTAATAATTATAACAATAATAATGATAATAAGACAATTATAGTAATAATAATGATATTAATAATAACAATGGTAATAATTATAACAATAATAATGATAATAAGACAATGATAGTAATAATAATGATGATACTAAAAGCATTGATAATAATAATAACAATGATAATGATAGTAATGATAATAACGATAATGATAATAACGATAAAGATGATAACAATAATAATAAAATTGATAATGATAAAGTTAACCATACTGATAGCAATAATGTTAATCATGATAATAATGACGAGATAAAATTGATTATATCCAAAATAATAACGACAGCATTAGTATCATTAATGATGATAGCAGTTATGATATCAACTGAAAAAAGGTTATCAAATAAAACAAAATCAAAATACCTTCTTTATTTGAAATTCACATGAACAAAAATTGAACTGAGATTTATATAAAAGGTCATTTCATTTTCTTAAAATACTATATACGTTTTTTTTTCAATTAAGTATATGAAGAATATAATGAAAATACGAACAGTTGGTTATATTGAGTCTTATGGGGCCTGCTCATAGGGTCGAGTCAGCAGTGTGTGTGTGGGGGTGGGGGGCGGCGTGAGTGGATAAGAGAGGAAGGGAATAAGAGGGAGGGAAGGGAGGAGGAGGGAGAGGGGGAGAGGGAGAGGAGATGGCGGAGAGAGAGTGAGAGGGACAGAAAGGGAGAAAAGAGGGAGAAGAGGAGAGAGGGAGAGAGAGATAGAAAGACAGAGAGAGAGAGAGAGAAGAGAGAGAGAGAGAGAGGAGAGAGAGAGAGAGAGAGAGAGAGAGAGAGAGAGAGAGAGAGGGGGGGGGGAGGGAGAGAGGAGAGACAGGAGAGACAGGAAGGGAAGGAGAGAGAGAGAAACAGAGACAGAGACAGAGACACAGAGAGAGAGTGAGAGAGAAGAGAGAGAGTGAGAGAAGAGAGAGAGAGTGAGAGGAGAGAGAGGGGGGGGGAGATGGAGAGAGAGGAAAGATAGGGGGGAGAAGACAAACAGACAGACAAAAGCAGAGAGTGATAGTGTATGTGTTGTGTGTGTGTGTGTGTGTGTGTGTGTGTGTGTGTGTGTGTGTGTGTGTGTGTGTGTGTGTGTGTGTGTGTGTGTGTGTGTGTGTGTGTGTGTTGTGTGTGTATGTATGTGTATGTATTTTTTGTGTGAGTGTGTATTTGCGCGTGTGTGCAATGTTTATTACGTTATTTCGCAACCGACTCATCTGTTCATCAGTATCACAGTACGTGAAAATACCGTCCATTGTAAAGAATCATCGAAATGAAGCCATTTATCATTACCGATGGCAGTTATAAATAGGAAATACTTTTTTGAAATCTTTTGAAAGTCATAACATATTCTCTGTGGATGATATTACAGCTGTACAAACAAATTCACAGTCGTTTGAAAACCTATATCAAAGACATGGCCGTTTATCATACCAGTCCAGCTGAAAGCAATATTGAACTTAATCTAAAAACTTAATACAAACTTAAAAGTATGTCAGAAAGTTTAACTTAGCATCTACTTGCATTGCTTAATAGGGAAGTTTCTAAATCTATTAAGTCTGTATCGTTGTCCAATGTTATAGGAACTTTTTTCACTCATCCAAAATTCTGAGACCAGACTTTCATCACTGTCCGTTTAAACAGCATTGCATATGACAGTCTGCTGTGCAATATCAAAAAGCAATATGAATATCTCCCTACGAGAATTTGATTTGATTCGATTTCGAATTTCGTAATAAAACTATCAGAATTTGAATAGCCTAAGAGATTTTTATAAAGGAGAATAAACCTCTTCATCAAAAAGCATTTTTGTACCATACACCAGTTCGGCTCAAGGCAGTGTTCAAGATAAATCATATTATATTGCAACTGCATTGCTTTGAGGGTATTTTCGGCTGTTTTAAACCACGCCCTGAGTTCCAGGAGGATGTAAAAGTGCCATGATGCACCATAACCCTGAAATTCAGACACAAATTGTTTAAAACTGATTGGATGAATTGCGAAAGAGACGGAAATTTTCCTGAGTTACTTTCATCCTAGAAAATGTATTAGGCCCAGTCCTAACAGAAAATTACGATTGCCGGTTAGGTAGATATATATTCAACCGAGAGTAAATCACAACTGCCATGCATTACACAAAAAAATAATTATAATTACTTTCTGCTTTAAAAATATAGCTTTACTTGCCTTCATCGCAAAGAGCAAGGATTATGTGCAAGAAGCAGTATAAAACCACACCGCTTTCCCCTGTAATACTAAACGCCTTCTTGTTAACACGCAAACTATATACACGAGCGCCCTTCCTCGGCCACAGTGCCACAGAGCTTGGAAAAACACAACTAGATCGAGCTTTTTGAAAAACGATCGAGTCGACCCCGGCGTTATGGCCTGCCCAGGGGGACGGTTTCGGGCGGAGAGAGCGCTGCGCCGGAGCTGTTGGGGTGCAGGAGGCGGTGGCGTAGGGGGTGCAGGGCGCAGTAGCGCTCCCAGTGCGCGCGGCACTCCTCCTCGGCCGGACCCCACGCGGCGGTGGGCGACAGGCCTTGCGCCAGGCGCTGCGGGAACAAGTGGGATTGACGTATTTACTATAAATTAAAACATAAAATACATGTATCTATGTGTATGTGTGTTCATATAAGATAGTGCTGCAATAAAAGTGGAGGCGATAAAACTTTCATCAATTACTCCACACGTTATTGCATTTCCGCGCCGCATAAAGACACCAGTGAATGACAGAACATGGAACTCGAGCCCTCAACCGTTTCCTCGTCTCTGACCTGCGCGACGGAGCCCTTGGTGTGCACGGCGAGGTAGTACACGAAGTAGCCGGGGATGGCCAGGATGGAGGCGCAGGCGGTGAGCCATCCGACGCCCTGCGCCCAGTCGGGGAGCCTCCTGCCGTCGTAGCTGGCGGGGCCGTAGTTCAGGACCATGTTGACGAAGATGCCTGGGGAGGGCGCCGGGGCGTTATGGCTGGTTCAGGAGGAGGGTTAATGCGGGCCGGGGGAGGGGAGGGGGTTGGGGTTATGATAAAGCGGGGGATAATCTAGACAAAAATTATTTATAAAGATGCCTACAGCGCACGTACAAACACACACACACGCAACGATTGCAAATGACAGAACTTAATTGCTACTACATAATTTGTGAGTCTAACTACATCTTTCGTATGTTAACCATACGATAGATACGTAAATCAAAGACATTAGCAGTGATAAATTTCACAAATTCCTTTTGTTCATCGGTATATTCAAGCAATAGAGAAATAATGCAATAGAGTAACGAAACCAAAGAAAATGCTATGCCTTACCATACTATTTTTTTCTCTTACAAACATAAAGACAACGAAATCACCCACCTTCACGTACAACATCCACAAACAAAACAAAGCAGACACGATACAAAAAAATAATAATCCCCAAAGAAAAAAATATATATATCACAAAATCCCAATCAATCTCTCTATATCTTTAAAAACACCCTTCTATCTATCGTGTTCTTACGTTTTTGTTTTTCCATCCTACGTTACCGTGCGCAAGACCTCCTCGCCCTTATCATATTTCAGATTAATTTCTCGCCTGATTATCCTTTCTTCCACGTCTCACTTACCACTGTCAGGACGGGGGTAATTACCAACCAGGTCGCGTACCAAAAGTAGCTGACGGTTTTGTTCGTCATCATCTGCAGGTCGCGAATTGTTCTTCCGACACCTGGAGAACACATCGGTTAATCATTCTGTTTGATTGGTGTATTCTTGATATTGGTTGGATGTCATCTGATGATGATGATAGTGTTGGTTAATCATTATGTTCATCTGTATTGATTGGATGTTTTGTAGATAGTGTTGGTTAATCATTGTTCATTTATATTGATTGGTTGTTCTGTTGGTAGTGTTGTTTAATCATTCTGTTCATCTGTATTGATTGGTTGTTCTGCTGATAGCGTTGGTTAATCATTCTGTTCATCTGTATTAATTGGTTATTCTGATGATAGTGTTGTTTAATCATCCTGTTCATCTGTATTGATTGATTGATGTTGATGGTGTTATAGTGTTATGATGTTTGTTCTGTTCATTGGTTTATAATGTGATGAACAGATATGCTTGTATTATCATAATGTTATATTATTCATACTGTTAATTGGTGCATATATGAATTGACTGATGTAAATAAATGGATTATCCCTGCATTGCGGATAATGCTGCACATGTTGTAAACTCTAATGTTTTAAAAAAACATGACGTATTGCTGTTTAGCATATATATATATATATATAATTATATAATATATATATATATATATATATATATATAATATATATATATATATATATACTAAATATTCACATCACACATTCCTACATTTTACAATATACATGCATCACATAATTTTCTCCTTAAAATACGACAATTTTTTGTAGATAAACTACTTTCTCAATCACACCCAAACACAACGAGACACCCCCACCCCCTCCCCACCCCCATTCCCCCTACCCTCTCTCGCCCCCGCCTCACCGTATATGAACGAGAAGACGAGCAGTTCGCAGAGGCAGTTGAGTGTGGCGGTGAAGGAAGACACGTACCAGTCGACGAGGGTCAGCCAGTATATCCCCGCCTGTCGGAAGGGAAGGAGGGTGAAAATTCAGCGGAGAGATTTATTTGTATTTAGGCGATGCGGAATTTTTTTTTTTTTTTTTTTTTTGGGGGGGAGGGGGGAGAAGGGGTAAGAAGGGAGGAGGAAGGAGAAGGGATTAAGAGAGAGAGGGAAGGAAGGGGAAGGAGGAGGGGTGGGTGAGAGCGAGAGAGAGAGAGAGAGAGAGAAGAGAAAGAATAAAAACAAGAGAAAAGTGGAAAAAAAGAGAAACCGATAAAAAAAAAAAACAAGAAAAAGAAAAAACGAAGATTAAAAAAAAAGATACCGGAACAAAAAAAATACACCCATCTGTCCCTAAACAAACAAACAAACAACCAAACAAACAACCAAACAGCCCCCCGTTATCTCCCTCTCACCTGCGAGTAGATGACGCCGTTGCCAAGGAAGATGACCGAGCAAATGGCGAACGTGACGCACCCTCGCCAGCTCCGGATTTGGGGGAATTCGGATGTCACGACCGTCAGCAGGCTCTCCACGACGCCGAA